CACCAGAGCAGTCAGGCTCCAACTCTTATCTCCCTTGTTCTCTGAAGATTGCTGTTATCCTGTTCTTTTTTCAAGGTGCCCAGATTTCATATTGTTCAAACACACATGCTCTACAAACAATTTGTGCAGTTAACGCAATCATCACAGAGTCCTGAGGCGACATACATCCTCCTCAGCTTACAAAGAAGACGACAGGATTAAGAGATTAAAGACAGGCATAGGAAATCACAAGAGTATTGACTGGGGAAGTGATAAGTGTCCATGGAATCTTCACAATTTATGTTCAGAGATTACAGTAAAGACAGACGTAAGAAATTATAAAAGTATTAATTTGGGGAACTAATAAATATCCATGAAATCTTCACAATTTATGTTCTTCTGCCACAGCTTCAGCCGGTCCCTCCATTTGGGGTCCCTGACTTCCCGCAACATAAGTGAAAGAGACCAAGTGAAACAGGTTGAGAGAGAGTAGCTGAGTCCTGTGGATGATTGAGGCCTTTGATGAAAATGGAGGAACTTGTGCCTGCATCCCTCTGGTAGCCTTTGATTTAGTCTGTACTGGGTTATGTGTCTCTGAGCTTCTGTGAGGCCTATTTGACATTGATTCAAAACAATGATTCCTATTTTGTCATTTCCATGTGTGTTCTGACAATAAGATCCATGTTCTCCCAAGGAACTTGGAGATTTTTCAATCTCCCTGATTTGTATTAATATCTATAACATTTATTTTAAATAGTATTTTTTTTCCAGTCAAAATTTATTATTTTATTGATTAGCATAGGAAGTAGAAAGGGCATGTAAGAAATTTATTTTTGAGCATTCTTCTACAAATATAAAGGACATAGAGTTTATACATTCTTCCTTTCATTTAGGAGGAAGTTAATATTAGATGCATTCTCTGTGCAAGGTGAGCTAAAAGAAAAGACAGCAATCAATATATTATGATTCTATCTTACCAAATCAAGAATTTCCTTTAGAGAATTAACCATGTTGCTGATCACCACTTCTCAACACTTATACTTATGGGTTGAAATTATGTTTATTCAGCAAAGTCTAATTTACCCTGCATTTTGTAAGTTGGAGGCTTTAGAAGGAACTATATCCTTCCCAAAGTTAAAGCTCTGCTAAGCTTCACTCTTTAGTCTAAGGCCAGGCAGTCACAGGCATAATGCAGCCACGATAGAGATGTGCTTTCATTCTTTTGGGGTAGGGAGGAAGTAGAGCAACTGGCTGAGAATACAGATGTTGATTCAGAACCCAGCTCTATTACTTACTATGTATGAGCTTGGGTAGGTTAATCTCTAGTTTCCTTATGTAGAAAATGGAGGTGATGATAATATCCACTGTGTAGTGTTGGCATTGTAAGGATATACTAAAATATCTAACATAATACTTGACATTTACTAAGGGCTCAAATAAATAGATGTGATGGTAGTAGCAGTGTAGTAGTATATGTTGTTGTGGTTGTTGTAGTTTGGTAATTATTGTTGCTGTTGTTGGATGGTAGTGTCCAGAGATTAGCTAACTATATAGTCCAGGCTCAAATCTGACCGAGAGTCTGTTTTTGTAAATAAAGTTTTATTGGGACATAGTTACATTCACTCATTTGCTTATTGTCTATGGCTGTTTTCATACTACACCAGAACCTAAAACATGTACTATTTGACTCCTTATAGAAAATATTTTCTGATCTTTAGCACAGTGGAAATAAGAAACAGTAAAAGTTTATCATTCACATAGTCATGCTTGAATTCTGACTCTTCTCCTTAGCTTGGTGGAATTGGTCAAATTTACCTTTGAGACTCAGTTTCCTCTGTGGTTACAATGATACATAAATAGACATGTTTTAGTGATTAAATGTGTGAAATTAGCACAAAATTGTTGCTCAATAAGTATCAACTTCAGTATCTTCCTTTGACATTCCTTCTGGTTTCCTTGTTGTAGTAAAATAAATAAGTTGGATATTTCTGGATTTAATCTCGCTGTTTCAAAAAATGTGAAAACATTGCTGGTTTATGCTTTATGTATACATAATTGCCCACTACAAGTGGCTAGCTGTACTTTGCTCAAATTCTTAGAACCAAGTAGGACCACTTAAAGCTATTAGCAAAAGAAGCTGGTATTTAAGTCAAATAAAAAAAATTCTCATCTAAGTCAGAAATAGTTATTTTGTCTTTCAAAGTTATTAAAGCAAATTTCTCAAACCTGAATGTTATATAAATGCACTAGTAGTTTCAATATTGTATTTATTATGCTTCATATAAATTGAAGTAACTTGATACTTCATATAAATTGAAGTAATTTGAACATCATGACAGTGATAATAATTCTAAGTTTGACAAGAGTTTTTTCTTTTTGAGTGGTTCCAATATGTTTTCAGACTTAGTCAGGTCTATCTGGTGGAGAGGAGCTGGACCAAAAATGAGTCATAGCTTCCACATTCTATTTTAGAGAAGTGTAGGAATAATTAATCATAGTCAAGTCCTCTGGTGATTATATTAGAAGAATAAATGTAGTGTTACATTTCCATGCAAATCACTCTTCTTGTTCTTCAGTCTTGGAAATGTCTAGTTGCCTCAATTTTGTCATAATTGTAATCACTTGTGAATAACTAACATTTCCTATTTTTCTGCTAATTTGGAAAAAAAAACCCCACCATCTTGTCTCTAGAAATTAAAGGCTAATAAATATATCCCCTTTGTAGAGTATCAGAGAGACACATCATTACATGTATACATGCTGAACACATTTGTTTTGATATTTACCATCGTTTATTTTTTCATTTCCTTTTTTCTTCTTTTTAAAAATTCTTCTTGGATTGCTTGTGTATGTTGACTAATTCCCATCTTTTAGATATTCTTCTTTATATACCCCATTGTGATCCTAGGTCTTAGAATGCAGAACTTTAACAATGGAGCCTGGAGATAGTGATATTGAGCATTCTATCTAATTTTCATTTTTTCCTCATAAAACTAATTTTAAAATTCTATGTTCTTAACACTTTTGCCGTTGACTCACACAATTTTGCTTTCACCAGCATCCAAAGTGGCTGAAACATCAGCATCAGGTGGTGGCAATGCTTTAAGGGACATCTTATCATATGCAGCGTGGCATCTCTGCGTAGGCGTGTTAAGTTATCCTACATTACTTAGGCTAATTTGTGACAAAGTTGGTAGACTCAATGAAATAAACAAACATTTTGCAAAGAGGTAGAAAGATCTTCCCACCCAGTATCTTATTCAAGTTTTTAAAAAGAGTAATTCCATCCCCAGACTTCCCACACTTAGTGGTCTTCCATATATAATACACATAGCAGACTCTCACTAGCAAACCTGTTAAGAGAATAAATAAGTTTGCAGCACTACTTGCTCAACCCAATTTGAGTATAGTGTTTGCTTATGTGACACACTGAACACACAGTTAAATGAACTTTTACTTCTTCCCTCTCTAATGCTGTTGGCTCCTTCAGGTCATCTCCTGCATAAATAACCTGCACCTGAGTCTCAACTCTGCTCTTAGGGTCACCCCGACTAAGACAAGATTATCTGAATAATGGCATATTACTTTTCAATATCTGAAATAAGTGTAAGACAGGAAGTACAAATTGTGTGCTGTTTTCTAGAAGACAGAATAAGTACTTTTTTTAAGATCTCATAATCTCAATTATAAATGAAAACTTAAGTGACCTTGGCATACTGTCAACATAAATCTAGCTTTTAAAAAGGAGATCTTCTCTGCACCATGACTTCTAAATCTATTTGGGCTTTTAAATTTTAACCCTTCAGGGAAATTGAACTCAAATAGTAGAAACACTTGTTCTTCAGGAAGCCTGAGGGTTATTAAACAGGCCAATCCAAAATATTGTAGTCGTTATGAAACTGTGTGGAAGAGTGAGGAAAATGCCAATGTACAAACATTTATGTTGGTACTTGCCTCCTGGTCTCTTATCTTAGAAACTTCTTCGACATTTTGAAATTTATCTCATAAGATTCCCATATAAAAGATAAAGTTGTCATTTATTTGAAATTCATCTAGAGAATTTAAGAAAATGTGAGGATTGTGCATTCCAGATTATCCTTCGCACCTGAAGCTGTGCCTTGGTTCAACAAGGCCTTGTCTGGACTCTCTAGTGTTCAGATAAGCATAGACATAGAAGAGACTCCTCGCTGAGATCATTGACCCTAAGTCCTTTATTATATGCTTCAAGGAGGAAAAGCTCAGATTTGTCCAAGGTCAGACAACAGCAGCAGGCTGGAACTCGGTTTTCTGTCTGTCTTCTGCTGTGATTGGGCCACGTGAAAAAAGGTTCCAATTGGGTATGAAGACTTCCCATAAAACATTGGCTGAGATGGACATACTGGTGTTAATATCAAAAAAGAAGGTCAGAGTTGGGCCGGGCATGGTGGCTCATGCCTGTAATCCCAGCACTTTGGGAAGCTGAGGTGAGTGGATCATGAGGTCAGGAGTTCAAGACCAGCCTGACCAACACAGTGAAACCCCATGTCTACTAAAAATATAAAAATTAGCCGGGCATGGTTGTGCGTGCCTGTAATCCCAGCTACTAACGAGGCTGAGGCAGGAGAATTGCTTGAACCCAGGAGGCGGAGGTTACAGTGAGGTGAGATCACGCCATTGCATCTAGCCTGAGTGACAGAGTGAGACTCCACCTCAAAAAAAAAAAAAAATAAAATAAATAAATAAAAATAAGGTCAGAGTTAAGACTGGTGTGTAAACTATTAAGGAAAAATTTTTTAAAAAAGTAAAACATTTGTTTTAGCAAGCCACATGCCAAAATAATCAGAAATTCACAAAGAAGTCTTGTCTCATTGCATATTTGCTGGAACAAATACATCATTAATGTTCTCAGTTTAGAATGAAATCTTCAAAGTCTTGAATGTTTCTTTCAAAATCATCATTACTATTGTGGATTAAATTCAATATTAAGTTATAACACTTTATATAAGTTATGAAGTGTTTGAAGGTACTTTGTTGTTGTTGTTGTTGTTGGTCATTTGAGGGATACCAAGAAAATATTTCTCATCCCCAAATTTTCTTCTCGCTTGTCTCCTTCATGCTTAACATTTTTCCTTTGATTTCTGCCTTTTGGGTTTTCATCATGGTGGGCTGCTGAAGAGATATCAGTGACACACAGTAGCATATCAACTTCAGTTACTTAGTAGTAGTCTTCCAGAGAGTTGACACTCAAGGGAATGGCACATGGGATGGAAAGTTTTTATGTCAGTCATAAGAAAGAGCACCAAAGAAGAGAGAGCTGCATTAAGGTGAGGACAAAGCAGCAGTAAACTTTTTGAAAAAGAGAAACACCAAGAGAGTAGCAGAAGATGCTGAATTATAATATTGCCTATCCCACAGTTTTGGCTAGAATTTGCTCTGATGGCTAACGATTTACAGAGGCTTTGGAGTTTTTCCTTTCTAATAACACACGGATTACATTTACATGGTGTTTTACAAGTTACTGAGCACAGCCATAGGCATGATCTTGTCTAAGCTACTCTGTCAGTTAGCCAGGATGAGTACCAGCAGCTCCATTTTACACACAGTGAAATGAAGGCCCAGAGTTGTTAAGAGACTGGTTCCAACTCACATACGCAGCGAATGGAGAAGCCAACGTGGGAACTCTCCTATTGTGGTTTTGACAGGTGATGTTTCTCCTGCACTGTGTGAGGTTGGGAAAATATTTTATGCTTTGGAGTCAGATGACCCAGGCTTAAACTTGCCAATTTTCTTGCCAGCAGTGTGACTTTGAATATGTTACTAACTGCTCTGAATCTCAGTTTCCTTCATTTGTAAAAAAAGAAAAATAATTCTACCTTGTGAGACTGTTGTGAAAATTCCATTTGGTAACGAAGCAAAGCAACCAGCTTAACGCCTGGCACACAATAGGCACTCAATATACTTTCCCTGCAGTTAAAGATGAAATGATGAATGAGAGTAACTGTTAAATGACACCATGCCTCCTTGGTTTACTTTAATTCCCAAAATGATCTCCTGTGAAAGACAGAGAGTGTGTGTGTATGTCAATGCATCTGTGCATATGCACACCTGTGTGCATGTCTTGGTGTACACCACGAGCACCTGTGCACATCTCTTAGGGCACTGAAGTTGTTCTCTATGTTCCTAGGCTTTGTGGAACCAGACATAGTGATCAAACATGGAGCATATTTCTACTGCAGATAACTAGAAACTGGATAATGGCGATAAAGCTAATCCAACCGGATGGGTCCTAGCTCTGTGACATGGCTGACTTCCAGAAGCACAGGCTTTTTTTGTTCTCAAATATCAGGATGATACCTGGAGTTCTGAGTCTGATGACCTGGAAGATTTGGGGTAATTCCCTTTAGAAGACACAGCTATGGACTCACACCAAATTGCATTCATTTTTGAATATAGTTTATTTACAGTTATTTATTCTTTCTTGAAAAACTTTTAGCATCGCCTTGATTAAAATAAGTTCATAAAATAATCTTCACTGTATTTGTTACATATGGCACGGAATAATTTAGCACTTTGCAAATATGTCTCATTGACGTATCTCATTGATGCACAAATGGGAGAAGCACCCTTTTCTAAAAGCAGTACAGTGACTTAGTTCAATTTGGCTATGGGAGCACTTTAAAAAATTACCATGAGATGGCGCTGTAGCCAAGTAGATGAAGTATGCTTTAAACTGAGTTTTCCCTAATTATGGCAGTTAATTGCTTTTTTTTTGAATATAGAGGAATCTATCATTCAACTTAAAGTGCAGCAAGGTTTGTTACTCCGTTTTGATAGTATTGATTAAAATTGAGTCCTTTAATCACAGATCCATAAATCATTTGACAACTGTGTTTCACTTAGGTGTGAGTCTGTTTAAAAAGCCATAGTAGTCAGAAAATCGCCAGACTAAACAAAGGGCCCAAAGGTGCCATTTTATTTAGGATCAAGAAAATATATATGTGGACCATTGTGTTCACCATCCTCATAGACTTGTCTTAAAGTTCTTCCACAAAATTAGATTAACTTCCAGTTTATTTAAAGAGCTGATATTTTTGTTACACTTTAATCTACTTTGCAGCAATGGAAGGTCATAGAAATATTAGAACATGAATTCACATTTAAATAAACATGATACAAACATGCACACGTGTGTATATACTGAGTGTTTTCATTGACTTGCTTTTCCTCCATATAAATATATAAATATTGAATAAAGTGCATGAGAACATGTCTGTACATATATACAGCTACACATTTGCCTATACAGTATACACTGGAATAGATACTTATGGAATAAAAAACACATATACATTTGTAATATATAGGTAGTCAAAAGACATCTATCAGGCAACATTAATGTTCATTCTGATCAAGATTGAGTATATGGGGGTAGAATCTGTAATATTTTCCCTAATATAAAGTGAAATGTGCAGTGTTATAAGTGAAGGCAAAAATACATTAGAGCACAGACATTTTAACATTTATATTTTTATCAGTTAGTATGGTATAATCATGGAGTAGTTCAGTTCAAATGCAGCCTTGGTACTAGCAGCATCTTACACATTCTATCTTCGAAATAGTGAACTATCTTTCAACATATCTATGAGGAAATAATTAGAATTTATGCATTTCCAAATCACACAGTGACACTTCCCACATTCTTTAGTTTTCAAATCTGTAGCTTTTTCCAAAGGTTTAGGGCAAAAACTATTTCTCATTCAATAGAAATGCTTCAGCATTGTAATCACATATCGAACACTGATTCCAATAACAACATGTAATTTAACCTTGAGTGTTACAATATCAAAGTGGATTAACTGTTGTTAATCTCTTTTTCTCTTCAGTGACAACTTCAACGAAATATTATAATATCTGCTTTTCAATTAGGGAGCCCAGTGCCAATGAGTAATACTGAAATGAGTGAGTTTTTGGAGAAATAAAAGAAAAATTTTGCTCAAAACTATGGTAGTTATAAATTGGTTTGAGATTGAGGTGTATATTTCTAAATTAATTGCAATGTTAAGCCTCAAGTGATATTTTCCCCCTCCTTTGTTTGTTTGTTGTTTGTTGGTAACCAATCAAGAAAACTTAATTTGAAAACTACTCTCACAGTTGAAACAAACTTGTTTCTGAACCAGGTAAGAAGGAAATAAGTTGAAAGGATTCTAAAAATAAGTCTGTTTATATTTTTTGACTAAGACCATTTCAGTTTAGTCTTTTTTTTTTTTTTTTTGTGGTAGTTGTCTTGCTCTGTTGCCCAGGAGGAAATGGCAGTGATGTGAACTCGGCTCACTGCAGCCTTGAGCGCCTGGGCTCAAGTGATCCTTGTGTCTCAGCCTCCCGTGTAGCTGGGACCACAGTTGTGTGCCACCAGGATCAGCTAATTTTTTTTTGTAAAGACAGGGAGGTCTCACTTTTTTACCCAGGTTGGTCTTGAACTCTTGGCCTCAAGTGATCATCCCATCTCAGCCTCCTGAAGTGCTAGGATTACACGCATGAGCCACCGTGCCTGGCCGAACCATTTTGTTTAAAGGCAAGGATTTTTATTTTAATTATTTTTATATTTCTCATATCTAGAAATTTGCTTCACACATAAATGTACACTCAATAGATGATTGTGGAACCAAGCGGAATGGTTTTAATAAATAGTATAAACCAATGGATCTGAAAGCATCAATTTACCTGATGAGTGTCATAGGAAAGTCACCTGCTTTTTACGGAGATGTCCTGGGACTCTACCACTGTCAGTAGCCAGAAACCTGAGTTCATCCTCAATCCTGACACAGTTACATCAATATACTGTTTACTGCTCAAAAGAGTGCATGCATGATGCAGTCATTTCACAGCAAGTTACCAAATACCTCTATAGTGCTGTTTTAGAGAAGCAATTGCTAGAAACGCATTTGGTAATGTTAAATCATCCTTTTGCTAGTTTACCTAGAAGAACAAATATCAAACAAGACCACATTGGAAATTCAGAGTAAAGCACAAGAAGTAGAAGAGAAAGCAGCAATAGTTATTGAATAATATTTGAAATATTTTTCACTTCTGAGAATTAACTTGAAATGCAGCAAATGCAGCAACCTCGTGAATATTTCAAAATGGTATCTATGAAAAAGCAGGAATGAAAAATGTTGTCAAGTATTTCATTTAATTATCTTAGCAATACAGATTTTGTAACACTGACCTTAGTGTCTTTTTTTTCTCCTTTCAAAATATATACCACAGTAAGTTTTAAAGAGATTTTTAAAGAGGCCATTATGTTCAATAAAATTTTCACTATTTATAGCTATTTTTATTTACAGCATATAGGTAACCAACTCTATCCCATGCCATCAAGGAACAGCATAGCAGCAAGGTTTCCACTTGAAAATAGAAGTTAATTTAGATTTACTTAGGGCTTCATAATTATACAATAAAAGTGAATCATTTTAAAGACATCATTTACAATGTTATAAATAAGTATCAGAAAGCTCACAGCTGAAATGCTGTCAGAACATTTTCCAAGCACACATTTTGTAGCATTGAACCCCACTTTTCATTGACAGAATAAAATGAGGCATACAGATATGATCGTTGGTTCCACTAGACTGGTCTAATTTTTTCCAGTCTCTTATTTTTTTTTCCAGATAGGTGAAAACTTGCTCAGTGTGCCCTCCACAGTTACCATGGCAACTGGCCTGTCACACACAGCTCACCTTTTCATTCACTCCGTCGCTATTGTCTTTAGAAGCATCTTCAGAATGCTGCTTTCCTAGGGCAACCATTGAGCAGTCATTATCTGTTGTCTTGGCATCTTGCTTTGAATTCTTTTTTTGTCCCATTTGAAGTTGGCTAGACTTGTAGGCCAAAGCCGGTATAGTGTTCACTAAAATTAACTGCAATGGTTTTTTGTTTTCCTTGTACTGACACTGAATATACCGTGAAAAGGCTGACCTATAAGTCTTGTTGAACAGTGTGTAGACTAGTGGGTTGACTGCTGAAGAGAGATAACCGATCCAAACAAACACATTGAGCAGGGCCCCAATGACATCCTCATTGCACGACTCTTTGCAGATGACAGCCATGATGTTCGTGATGAAGAAAGGGCACCACATCACCACAAACAGGAAGAAGACGATACCCAGCACCTTGCATGCCTTTTGCTCATTGCTGATGGACTGCATAGTCCTTCTGCCTGTGTAGGACCCTGGGTCCCTGTGGATCGACCGCTGGAACAGCTTTTCTGAAGACAAAGAACTCTGAGGGAGGAAGCTGAAAGAAGCTAATTTGGCCCGTGTGCCGAGATCACTTACACACAAAGTAGCTTCTTTCTGGAGTGACTTGATAGTTAGAAAGTAGGTGATCACCATGATGGTCAAGGGAATGAAAAATGACACAAAAGAGCCGATCAAGACAAAGTTATCATCGGCGAGTAAGCAACTCCCCTCCTTAAAGACCTTCGAATCATCCTGTAGCCCAAAGACTGGTATTGGCATGGATATACCTGGAGTTGGACAGAAAATGAAACATGATTGTTAAGGAGTTGAGTATATGAAGGCAAGAGCATCACCACTTAATGTTGGCTATTGAAAAGATTTTATATCAACATTGTTTAAAAGCTTAACATACTTTGAGAATTTAAAATTCCTTTGGACTTACTTATGTGTTTTTTAAGTATATATTATGTAGTTCCTTGTATGTTTTATTGCCCCATATAGCTAATCCTTTACTTACAAAGAACTATAATCTAGCTTTAATTTTTTATGCCATATTTTTCTGATTATAATATTATACTTATTAATTGAAGAAACACACAGAGAGGTAAATAACTAAAAAATGTCCAATAACATCACCATCTAGAGATAGCCACAATTAACAACTGATGCTGTTCATTTTATTTATATATTTATTTATTTTTGTCTATGAAAATCTAGAATATAGATTTGTTTCTTTTTTTGATGCTGTTCGTTTTAGATACACACACACACACTCTTACCATGTGCACACATTTTAGAACAGAATTGAGGTTCTTTCTCACAAACAGTTCTGTATCTTTTAAAAAAATCTAATAATATGTCACAAGCATGGCTTATATATAAAAATAACTATAAAATTATAAATATAGTATCTTTTCTCTCTAGACAGTTTGGGAAGTACAAAAATGTAACAATGAATAAAGAAAAATAATATGTATTCTCACCAGCCTGGGGCAAACATAATTTACATTTGTATCATTTCTCCTTCCACTTACATGTACCTATAAACGTGTATATGCAGTACTTTATATGCAGTACTTTGTATCTTATATGTTTTAGATCTTCCTATTCCATTTAACATTATAAATCATGATAATTGCACATAAAATATTTTTGAGAAATACAATTTTCTAATATTAATTTAAAATAACTTTAACCAATTTTCATTCTTTTTAAAAAAGCTTTTATTATGGAAAAATTTTTAACATACACACAACTAACAAACCAAAAACCAAACCCAGTACAGTGAACTCATCACCCAGCTTCAAAGATTATCAGCTCAAGCCCAACCTTGTTTCATCCATATATCCTCCGGCTGCCATCCTTCCCATGTTATTATGAACCAAATCCTAGACATCATGTCATTCAATCTGAAAATATTTATTACATAGATCTAAAAGCTGTGCACTCTTAGACAAACCTAATATTTTCACAATACCATTCTCACTCCTAAATAGAAGTTTAATATTTCCTTAATATTAAATGTAGTGTTAGTGTTCAAATTTCCAATTGCCCCATAAAAGTTGTATGTTTTTAGTAGTAGAGCATTTATAAGGGTGGACTACAAAAAGCAAGACGGCCATAGACTTTTTATTGACAAATATAAGAGGTAGGTACAGGATGAGATAATACAGGGGAACATGGGCCTATATGGTCCATTGCTCCATCACCCAGAGTTGGGGGATCTGTAAAGCTCCCTCAGGCACAGAGATTAGGCAGAGGAGGAAGCAGAAGTGAATAAAGGCAACCCCCACTGGCCTTTCATCATGCTCCATGCCCCACGTGATGATAGGACCTTTTTAAAGGAAGATTCGACTGGCCATGTTGTGTAGTTTCACCACCCAACCCCCACCATGGACAACCTGTCTGCTCCTGGGGAAATAGGTGTATCTTTCTCTACTGGCCTGGGATGGTTGGCCCAAGGCAATCATGAGATGGCTTATTCTCTCTGCCATAAAGGTAGAATCAGGATGACAAAAAAGAGAGGAAACATGAATCAAGTACTCTGTATAACTTAGTTTAAGATTGTTTCTTTCATGAAATGGTAGATATTGCAGGGACAGCCTGGGAGAAAAAGTCAGAAAAAAAGTTCCCTTCTAACTCCTACCCATATTTTCAGCACTCTCAGAACTGTAGAATAACGAGTGTCCTGGTTACTGCTTCTGACCATCTTTAGGGTCTAATACGTGGTCTCACACCAGCCAAGAACACCGGTTTATTCCAGAGTTGAGGGCCACTGCCTCACTCTTGCCATTCATCTGGAAAAAGGTTTTTGGAGAATCTCTAATCAAACTTCTGCATTAGAATTCCGCTTCATCCAAGCACAGACATGACTGTCCTAACCTCATGTTACCTCACATTGGCCATTGCGACCAGGAAAGAACACTGAGTTGATGTAATATTCAACACAAATCTTTCTTAGTGACATTTGCCATTATCTTCAAAGACTTAATTGACAATATTTGTCACTTGCCTATGCAAGCCCATCCAGGATTCTTGGAAGGTGGAGATAAATGACATCAGAGCTGTTCATAAGGACATTTATTATGGCTAATGACTCTTCATTTCCTCCATCCCTCTCTGTTCCTGACCCATTGTTTGCAACATTCAAGAAGAGATTGATGAGCTGTGTCTCCAAGAGAGAACATCCTCTGAGACCTTGGATATTGACCAGTTTTGCTTATCCTTCAGAAAACTCTTGATTGTAAAAGTAAGGGCATGATTTCTAAGAAGAGTGTTTTTCTCCCAGTGTTTGAATCTAGATCTGTGAAATATATTTCCTGTACTCATGTACAAGGTCTTGTTAGACAGCATAGTTGCTCATTGATTAGAAAGGATGCTTTGTTTATCCATTTGAGACATCCCTGGATTTGAGTCTTGGCTGTGACTCTGGGCTCCCGAATTGCCTTCTTCATTCCTATAGTCCCCACTTCGTCTATCATGGGAGGCTGGCAGCAACATACCTTCATGCATTTGGTGAGGATAAAATGGATCAAATTTGCAGAGCACCTAGCACAGCACCCAGTCCAGAGTAATGTTCTACCAGTGGTCAATAAACATGAGAGTAGCTTTCTCTGCAGAGTTATTTATATTAAATATATCAACATTATTTTATTCTAATCCATTTTGCTTAGATTGTATATACTAGATTTTATATAGCAGATCTTTTTAAACCAAAAGAGGCTAAAAAGGGTTTTGGCTATTGGCCATAGAGTTAACACTGATGTAATTATTAGCTTCTGCCAGGGTGATGCAGGGTCTTAATCAATTTTAATTTTGTACAGCTAGAACTGTTGATTACTTTTCGAATGTGATGAATTACAGCATTACTATTAGCCATGATACACATAAACAAGATATCAACCATCCAAAAAAGGTGTGTGATTTTGTTATTAAACTCTTGAGTGTTCCTTTTTCTAATTAATACAAAGGAAGTAACTACCTTGAGAGCCTTTTGCCCTATTTGCTTATAACCTGGTAATTTACATAAGTGGCAATTCTCAATTAACCAGAATGTGGGCCTACCTAAAATGCCAAATTCTTTAATTATTTGGAATAGCGTCTTTGGTTGGACACACACACACACACACACACACACACACACACACCATTCCAGAATAGCCCACTTTCTGAGAGGGGTGATGGAGTCATCTGCACTGAAATAGATAATCTCTTTCTTTTCTTTTTTTTTTTTTTTTGAGACGGAGTCTCGCTCTGTTGCCCAGGCTGGAGTGCAGTGGCCGGATCTCAGCTCACTGCAAGCTCCGCCTCCTGAGTTTACGCCATTCTCCTGCCTCAGCCTCCCGAGTAGCTGGGACTACAGGCGCCCGCCACCTTGCCCAGCTAGTTTTTTGTATTTTTTTAGTAGAGACGGGATTTCACCGTGTTAGCCAGGATGGTCTAGATCTCCTGACCACGTGATCCACCCGCCTCGGCCTCCCAAAGTGCTGGGATTACAGGCTTGAGCCACCGTGCCTGGCCAATAATCCCTCTCTTAAATGCCTGGGATAAAAAGCCACTCTACAAGAGGATGTGGTAAGAGGTTACAGGCAGAGTTGTTCTGTCTGGAAGGGGGACATTAATTTGGAGGTGGAGAATCAAGCTGATCAGTTATTTAAATGGCCTATTCATCTTTACATATAACAAAAACATCCTGAATACTATTGTATACCATTCTTTTTCCATGCCTCACTCATAGTAACTGGTCAGCAAGGGTTGTAGAAAGAATAACCAGGAAGTGAAAGTAATACTCTATAAAGAGAAGAGGAAACTTTATGTCAAAACACTAGAACACACAGATAGGCTTTGTTGGTACAATAAGCAGCTCAAAAGCATGTGCCTCTACCAAGAGAGATGAAGACATGGGCTGATCTCCAATATTGTGGTCACAGCCATCTCCAGGGCATTAATTATCTGGCTGCTTTGTTTGATAATAGCTGCTTTTGGAGACCTGACATCTCCTCTCACTTGAAATTTCTGCATATAAAGCATTTTCCTTTATGAACAAAACAGTAACTTGAATTACGTGACTCTGCATATTGTTTAATATATTTTTCTGAAGAGTGGAAAACAGCTGTCAAAATTCAATACCAGTATTGGATCCTCTGTGTAGCATTTTATTTATTTCCACTGAAACTCAGACAATAAAATGAATGGGAAACCTTGACACCCAAGAACACAAAAGCTTTGGTTGGTGTCTTTCTTTCAGCATAGCTCTGCTTACTTCCTGCACATAAACTTTGCACCTCTAGTTAACATCGTACCACAGGCTGCATAAATAACTCACTTTGAACTGCTGGCTGTGAAGGACTGGCTTTATTCTTAATCTTGGACTTTTTCTGAGACGGTGTACATTTCTTGGGAAATAAGAAGATTGCCTTCCTAGCTAACCATCCTCTTGTAGGGAACAGGACAGTGAAGTCCCTAGGGCCCTCAGCTGGAAAGGAGGTGGAGGGCACAAAAGTTACTTCGGGGTTTTTGTGAAAAAGATTGAAATTTGGGTTCATAGGTTTCTGTTCCCCTAAACTGCTACCTTTTCTTTGAATTTTAATGCATGCTGTGTTTTTCAAGTTATAAGAACGAATTTACTAGTAGTTTGACAGAAAACACCCCCTGTAAACACTGCAGGATAATCCTTACATTAGAGGGAAAGAAAAATTGAATATATAGGGCAACTGCCAATGGGACTCACTATCCTTCTGATACAGAGTTGCTAAATTCCTTCTAATCTGTGTATGGTGTGTTGACA